CAAGCAGTTCCTTTTCTGGAATGAATAAAAGAAAAAAGGCGATTATTTTAATAGAGCTGGCGAAAATACATGAAAAGATAAAATCTTCGATAAAACGAAGAATTAAAATCCCACAGGTATTGGTGAGCCTGAATAAGCTCGATCAATCTCGATTCTGTAAAAGTATTAATCCTCTAACTATCCGCCATGATGATTGAACTATTTTCAATGTTGTCACTTTATGACGTGGCATAAAGGCGTTTGTTGATTGGATGCGCGTTTGCAATCGTCGCGAGTAGAACAAACTTTTTGTTTCTAGTTGCGATTGCAGTCGCGCCGGTTTTCGAGGGGGATTACTAGTTAACGGGAACGGCCGTCGCGGTTGCAGTCGCCTGCGCGGCTGGAAATCGCATAGTGTGACCAGGGCTTTAGACTAGTCAGCACCCTGGCTACCCAGTCACCTCTTACAATTCGTTTTATAAATTAATTTAAACTCATTATTGAGTTTTTCCAACTAGGTCTCCTCCCCATTCAAATCATTACATTCTACCACCTCTTCTTTAGATATACTGTACTCTCTGGTACTTCTTTGATACAAACACTGGACCATTTTTTCCTGGGCTGCTGGATAGATATCTCGGTATTCTGCAATTTAGTACTTTTCACCACCTTTTCTAGGTCTTCTAGGATCACAACGATCTCAGAGCTCTTCGTTTTACGGATGCTCCGCACTTTATCTTTCGTGCCATTTATACTCTTAAGGAAAATTTCCTTTATACCATCACTACCGTTTCAGTCGTACGAGAATACCACGCTGTAACTAATTTAAGGCGGCCATACACGTTAAGTTAATCCTCTGAGGATTAACCATGCATACCCGACCTCGAGTAATTCCTGATAGTGTGTGGGGGAAAATTTAACAGTTTTGGCCAATTCTACTCCGGTGGTCGGTGCAGACCACGGGAATAGAGTCGAAAAACCATTTGATTTTCCTGCAGTGTCAGACTGCGTAGGCCGACCTTAACGCGTGTGCCACCGTGTCGTTCAGTTGCGAGTAGTTAGAACAATGTCTCGTGAATTATTTTATATAACCTTATTAACTTTTATTATTTATAACCTAAAAAGTTAATTTTTCAGATGAAAAATTTCTCGAGTAAATTAAAATTATAAATAATTTTAATATTTAGAAAACTTCTCAATTCATTTCTTCCGTTATCATAAAACATCTCGATACTCTTTATCATTTTCTTTTACATTTTCATAAATTTATTGTTCTAATATTCAAGTAAATTAAAATAAGACAAAGTTTAATATAAATTCTTTTGCGATAATGATGTTTACAATTTGTACTAATATCGAATGTGGTCGACAATCATTAATACATATTCGTCTATAAAATTTAATCCATGAATTTTTTTGGTAGTAAAATCGACTGGCCATCGATCTTTCGCTGATAATTGATGCTTTTTAACAGCCCAAGATTTCTCTTGAAAAATTAATTCTGTGATCGGTGCTACCCAAACCACTACTACTACTATTTACACCATAGACTTCTATGCATACTTTTTCCCCGCGAGTTTTAATAGAATTTGTTGCCAATAAACATCCGAGAACAGCCAGTATATCGTCATCGGATGCCATGGCCAACGGCGTAGCGAACGTAACTGCCGTCCTAGGCACGACACTATATTGGCGCCCCTCCCCCTCCAGAAACAAATCTTGTTTGTCTCGGAGACCATTTGGCGTCTCTCCGCGAGTGGCGCCCGGGCACGCGCCCTACTTGCCCCACCCTAGCTACGCCTCTGCCGAGAGATTTTCTTCTTCGTGTGTGGGCGATAGGAAATTCTCGAGTTCCTCCAGGTCAGGCAGCCTCAAAGGATTAACTTAACGTGTATGGCCGCCTTTTAGACTTTGGCAATCCGGGCCCGTTTTTAAGTCCGTCGTCTACTCGAAAACCATAAGCCTAATAAAAGGGCGGGCACGAGCCGAGGGCGGGTAGGAATAGGCCCGGCCGCTGGAACCGCGCAAATCAAAAGTAGCCCACCCACCGACGGACTTTTCGAGATCTGGAGCGGGTGCGGCGCCAGAAGTGACGAATCGGACGTTCCGGAAAACAAGAGGGGCGCGAGCTGACAAAGTCGAGGCCCGCCAGGGATAAAAGTCTTTCCTCTTGTCGGCCGACAAAAGGCTCCAGCCGTCCGCATCCCAGCGGGAGGTAAGGCCGATTCCCGATTTGAACGGAAAAACGGATAAATTGCGGGCAGGTTTTATCGGTTGCGGCGCACAATATGATTACCGAGAATAATTACCTTTGGTAGATGGCAATTGGACGTCGGGCATTTGTTCCGGCGTAAGAAAATAAACGAAAACGTCCACGCTTCCTTCCGGCGAGGGTGGCAAAATTCGTTTCGTTTCATCTCCGGTTTTATAAATTTCGTTCGGCGCCAATTGCTTTCCGTCTTTCGTCGACGGGCGCGAGAAAACAACTTTCAAACTTCATTACCGCCGCGTTGCGTGTCGTATGACAAAAGAAGAGAAATCATTTCAACATTTTACAACGTTTATTCGTCATTAACGCAATTCCAAAGCCGTAAGACACCAGCGACTGAAATTCTTCCGCCACCGGCCGGCTCCGTTTATAACGCCGACTCGGCCGGCCGCCCGACGCCCGCAGTTTTAAAGATTTCCGGACGGGGCCGGGGAAAATTCCCTCCTCCGGAGGGAAAACTTTTCTTCTCGGCCCCCGAGGGATTCCCGCCCCCGGGCGCGGCGACTGGCACGGCCGGAAGGAGTGGGGACCGCTCTGCCCGGTGGCAATTTTACGGGTTAAAAAAAGAGGCTCGGCTTCTCGGCGGCGGGTAAAAGGCCTCTCGGACGGGAAAGCGCCGGGTGTTACGAGAAGGCGGGGGGAGACTTCATGCAGACGTAGTCGGAGGGGCGGCGCTCCCAAACAGGCTCCTCCTCCGGCCTCTTTCCCCGGCCAGGCGGGACCGGGTCCAGCTGGATCATGGGAACCGCCTCCATGGGGGCGGCGGGCACGGGACCGTCTCCCACCGGACGAACCCGTCCCGGTCGGAGGTAGTGGGCCGAAGAGTCGTCGTCCGAAGACTTTTCGGGACCGGTGGCTTCTCCCATGCGTAGGTATTCCGTCTTGCGGTCGTCGGTGGTCCGGTAGCCCCGCTCGGCTTCTTCGTACGACTGTAAAAAGAAGAAAAATCATCCGGCGGCCGGGAAATTTACTCGGGCGGAAGAAGAAAGAACGACGACTCACTTTCAGGTCTTCCGGGTCCACCCACTCCCGTAATCGCCGCGACAGTTCGGCGAAGGTGGGACGTTCCTCGGGTTCCGCCTTCCAACACAGTCGGATCATTTCGTACCTGAAAGAGATCGACGATCACCCTCCGGGCCCCTCTGGCCCTATCGTCCATCCGCTCACACCCGGTCCGAGTGGACCGATGGAGACGGATCCGGAAGTTAAATAACTTATTTGCGATGTCGATGGATCATTCGACTCGATCGCAAATAAGTTATTTAACTTCCGGATTGGTCCACTCGGACCGGATGACTCGGGCCGATGAGAAACCGAAAGGACGGCAGAAAACGGTCGACGACCGCAATTCAGTGGGCAGACGTTGGAGGTGATTTTACGAAATTCCAAAAACTGGCCACCGTCGGCAGTCCGGACAAGGGCGTCCGCTATCGGTCGACGGCGACGGGAAATCCCGGTAGACCGGACGTTCCCAACCGACTTTTATCTCCGGTGTTTCCTCGACCGTAATTAACACCGGATTAATTTACCCGCCCGGCTCGGCCCCGGAAAGAACGCGAAGCGGGCGCTTCCGGTGGTAACCCCCGCCCGTCGGGGCTACGCGCACCGGCGCCGGCCCCTATACGCCAGGCGCGCGGTACGACGAAAGCGGCGGACTTTGGCCGGTTTAAGTAAGTTACATGGTCGTTTGCCCGGTGTCCGGGTCTTCACCGGTCACTCCTCGGTAAAAATACAAATCATTTAAAGGCGGTGGGACCGGCCAGGGTGAAGGAAGCGAGAGAATAGCCACTGCCTGGCAAAATATACGAAAACGGGAACGTTCTCCCCGATAGATCCGGATGCAAAATGGAGTAGGCCGAGAGGATTAAGGAGTACCGCCTTAAATTCGGGAATTCTGTTGGTTTTTGTATTTATCTCTAGTGGTCTTTGGATTAAAACGGGACCGCTCGGAGGAATGCCTAAGCTTTGTCGTTGTACCAACCATAAATACATAGCTTCGTCTAAATCAGTGTTTGCCACCGGAGTAAATCTAATACGTTTACTTACGTCACCACCATCGACAAATTAATGCCAGAGTCGCTAGTAGATAAATGGAAATAGAAACGATTATTAAGTAGTCGACAGAGAAGGCCGAAAACAACCGTTAAAGTTAAAACCGGCAACAACCGCTACGGCCATTAATACCTATTACAAATTATATCCGTTATAATTTAGAAATATTTATACCAGACAAACTGGAAATTTACCAAAAATCATTAAAAGTACGGACGATTTGATCAAAACCTACAAAAAATAAAAATAAAAAACACCGGGGATGTCGTCCACCACTATAAAACCGGTAGGAAAAAACACTAAAACAAAGAAATTGTCCGGTAAGCGGTACAGAATTAACATAACTACGGGAAATATTACGGTCAAAAAAGAATTCCCACCGATACACGCGTACAACACCTATTGGCGGAATTACGTACGATACAAAAGGATAAAAAATATATATATAAGGCAGAGAAATCTTATATTCTTTTACGTAAATACAGAAAAGGTAACGGCTTTAAAGAAAAAAATTAGATTCGATGTAGAAGAAGTCCGCAAATTATCATTATAAAATTAATTAGGAAAGAATATCAAATCGATACAAAGCCACGTCGGGTAGATATACGTCCGAGCCGGGAAATACCGACTTACGTCACGGAAAACCTAGGAATAAAACGACGGACGGAACAACGGAAACGAAGCATTTCGTTAAAACGTACGGACTTAAGGGATATTAAAAAGCTGGTTAAACGACTAAACGCAAAACAAGGGAAAAGGACAACGAGAAGGCAGAAAAACGGAAACAGGTAAAGTTCAAATACAAAAAGAAATTCTCGAAAATATTACAAAAGTGCTAAAAACTAATAATATAATCGTAACACCGGGACAAACACATAATAAGGAAAACTATAACATGCGACGGAAAGGAGAAAAAGTAAAACACTTGTAAAAAACCGTCCCGGCGACAACGCGGGTGTACTGTACAGGTACATATAGGCAAAACAGGTGAACAATTAAAAAATATCCTGCAACCACTCGTTTTTTTCCCGGAAACGTTTAAAACCCAGCCAGTGACGCCGTCCGTTACGATATTTTAATTGAAAAAACTTTATATTTTTAATTATTATAAAGTAACAAAAAACATCATTTTTAGGGTAAGAACGGTTTTAAACAAAAATGTAAATACTAATAACCGGTACAATGGTCACGGAGTCCCATCCCACTCTTAGTACTACGCGCCACTCTCTTTATCTCCCCCTCGACCTTTAATTAACCACCAACATTAATAGCGTCGATTCCTTTAAGAAATAAATGTGGCAAAATTTCAGAAATTTTCGGAAAAAAGCACGAAAGTTATTAAGCTTGGAAGAGGGCCGACGAAATAGCGTAAAATTCGGCATAAAACAGAAAGCGTAAAAATTTTTCCGAAATTTTGGCCGAAACGTAACCGAAAAAAGAGTAGTGCCAAAATTCTTCTAATACAGACGTCTTTTTTGTGACGTCAAAGTAGACTAACGACGGCGGCAACCAGGGTTAACCCTACAATTGTGACGATGTCGAAATAGAGGAGTTTATCGAATCCGTTCGACCGCGCTGGTGTCGCGTATAAAGACACCGTATTTAAACGACGTTTACGCGGCTATAGGTGCTAAATTTCAAATAACAGCTAGGTGTAGTAGAATAGATATATAGGCCTAGTATTTAGATGGCGCGTTCTTTATTTCAATTCGGAATACGAGTCTATTCATTTAAATTTTCTATATTATAGCGGAGGAAGCGAAGAAAAAATGAAAGGTACAAAGGGATACGAGAGAAAAAAATGAATAAAATGTGGCGCCGTTAGTGGCAATGGCGTTTCCTATTCGGCCAGAATTTTTACGTACGCGTGTCGCGGCGTAAAAGCGTAAAACAGAAACCGATTTCTGATTCAGTTTTCTGCCACACAATTTTACGCGCGTGTGTTCCCGGCCTTACACGCGTGCATAAAAAGACCCCGACTTTTTTATTTTATTTTATTTTTTCGCGGTGTCCCCAGCCCAAAAATGTCGAGGGGTGATATTTTCACCCGCGGCCATACTTTCCCTCTGTTATAGCCTATATTACGCCGGAAAGGCAAGAAACGTTTAAAATTCCACGGTTTCTAAAATATTACAAAATGGATGTTTATTTAAAATATTTACCAGCCGTTTCTTACCCACCGGGCGGATGGGCGCCGGTAAATTCGTTAAAAAAATAATTAAAGACGTAATACATTGCCATCCGCTTTCTTCGCCCTCCACCGCCCGTTGCCGGGCAAGCGACCACTAAAATCGATAGACGTAACGGTAAATGTTGGGAAACTTGGCGTAAATTAGGCAGATTTGAACCGATGGAAAGGTAATAATCCGCAATATCTGTAACCTTAAACATATGCGGGCGTAATAAACGGTCCTGCCTAGGGACACCGTTAGGGCCGGCCGTAAAGGAGTCCTCGCCTTACTTCCGGAAATCGCACCAACGGCGAGATTTGGAAAGTGCAAGGTGTTTGAGAGGTGGGCGTGATTCTACGGGTCCGGGGCGCCGGTGGCGGCGACCGGGTCCGATTGGGCGGGACCCCGGTCGGGCCAATTTCTCGAAAGGATTAACAAGTAAATCGGAAAACGGCAGTCGACGTCAAAGATGGGTTAGTTGTGTCGAAGGAAGCCCGCGCCCTTTAAATCGACGTAAACGAAGCGTTTAGAGAGGAGATACTCACAGATCGGGAGGAGCGTACTCCGGTCGGTCCATCCTGAATCCCCGGCTGAGCATCTTGTAGAATTCGGCGTCGACTTCCATTCCGGGATAAGGAGTGGCTCCCAACGAGAAGATCTCCCAGGTCAAGACTCCGAACGACCACCTGCGGGCAGCAAACACTTTCTACTACAAATCGGCCAAATATTTAGGAAATTCTCCCTTTCTACCGGTTCGGACCTTTATTTCTCCTTCCATTCGTCTACGCTACGACAGTTGGACCTAACGCGGACTACGATTAAGGGCTGTCCGTAAATGACGTCCACACCGAAAGGGAGGGAGAGGTTAAACTTCGATGGTCGGTCGGTCGGTTTGTTAGGGTTTTCTGGTACAAGAGTCGTTTAGGCTAAGCTGCGCCACGCCGAGAGGTAAATTGTGAATAAAATTTGATAAAATATTAAAAATAAACTCAATAACAATAATAAAAAACAATTAAAGGAAACAACAACGGGGGATTGAAAATTAAATAGAACAATCGGATCTCTTTGACCGTAGTATCTTTCAGAAAGCCAGGATTCCCGACAAATTTGTATTTTTAAAATGAAGAGCGGCTACACGGTATGTGTTTAAATGACTAGCGGACTTTGCAGCTGCCTCGGCTGTATTTCTTCTTATACCTATGTGCCCGAGACCCTGCGCAATTTTAGAAAGAAATTCATTGCACAGGGATTGCAAATAAGTTACGAACTTTATTTGGCATAGAAAGCGAAACAGTTTTACGTGAGACGAAAGCTTCGAGTGCACAGACTCAGTCGGTATAAATCACGCAGCAACGATAACCTTTTCTCTTTATAGCCTATATTTCAAGACTAAGTAGATAGCCTGCAGCAGACAAATGCTGAACCGACACAGAACCGATTTAGATCCATCCGTGTATATGGGAATTAAATTCCTATTACTGCGATGGATCTCCGCAAACAACTGTGTGTATACTTAGTCTGGGGTAAATTCTTTAGTACATTGTTTTAAGCTAAGGTCGACCGTTATAACAGGAATTGTTCAGAGAGGTATACATCGGGCTGGGAAATGTTAGTTATATCCAGGTCGATCGTGCTGCTTATAATATCCATTCTAATCTCAAAAGTAGGTATACTAGATCGGGGGCGGCCCTAGGGCGGTGCGAACGGTGCAACCGCACCGGGCGCCGAAAATTTACGCATTTTCACACTTTCACCTTCGCAATTTAGCCAGTTTGGGGTCGCGTATAGTCAGTACTCTCGTGACCTTCGGTTCCACACGATAGGATGTTTTTGAGTATCCAAAACGCTGGTATTTGAAGAAGGGTTTGGTACGTATGGGTAACGAAGGTGTCCTGCGGCAACGGAAGGTGGCAATGTCGACTCGTTAAATGTCAAAATGAGGTGTTTTGTAGGTATCAACTTGCCGTCTCGACGAATGGAGATGCGTTGAACAACAGTTTCACTTTGATCGGAAAGCCCACTCCCGAATATCTGATTCTTCTTCAGATATCAGATCGGTCTGATATGTGAAGAAGAATCACGACTCCCCGTGTGATGTGGCACTTATTTCGATCTTTCCTAATGTCTTCATTGCCAAAAGTCTTTCCAATTGCTGAGATGATGTAGTCTCGAGCAATAGGTTCCCAATCACAATTTTCGTACTGTACAGTACATATTGTGGATGCCCAATAGCAATGTTCTCTCTAATTTTTTTTGTCGATGAGCGGAACATATACTTCTCTGAGGAAAAAAAATTTTGCTGAGCATATATATATATATATATATATAAATCTTATTTTTTCTAAAAAAATTAAAATAATTAATTATAAAGTAGAGATTAAAATTAATTTTAAAACATACTTTTATACGAAATATTAACTTTTGTCAATGATTTAATGTATTTAAACGAAATATACTCAGCAATAATCATGTTGCAGACAGAGTGAGAAATAAGTAAACAACAATTCAAGTCGGTGTGCATGCTCGCCTGCGCGGCACATAAATTCTCGTGCGCGGCAACAATTTGAGCAGTGCGCGACCGCGCAGCCGCGCAGCTTAGAGGGAACATTGCTGAAGAGGGAGGAGATTACGGAAACTCGGACAAACTGGGACAGTGGGAGAGTAAAAGTTCAAGAAAAACGTAGACGTAATTTATGGACAGCCCCTTGGGCGCGGAGCAAAGATCTTTCTCTCCACCTACGAGGTCAATAAATTATAAACTACGTTTAAAACAGTTCGATGCCGGTAAAAGACGGGCCTAAGTACCGGCCGGGCACGGCCGATGCCCGTTATCGTCCTTTCGTAATCCGACTCTTTCCGGGGACGAAGGAAACGTCGACGACTCGGTGGTCGGATCCCGGAAGAAGGGTCCAGAGCCGCGGCATCGACTAGGGGAAACTTGCCTAATTCGTACTTCGCTTATATCTTCACTCCCGTAATAGCTATTAGTGTCTCTAGTAGCAAAAGAAGTAAATAACAATCGGTCATATTACCATCTGACAGACAACACGCTGTTACTCTGCTCCCGACAAAAATATTGAAAAGGAAAGTTTTTTCAACTTTTTCTGTAATATTTTTGCACATTTCATACGAAATTTCTTCAAATTGGATCGTGTGTAAGTTTTTTAACTATCTGTGATGTATTAGTGCGTATTTTTGTGATTTCATCCGAAGTGATGAAACACGCGTATCTGTTGTCAAATTTTTTGGCCACTAATGTAAAGTTTGTTCGACTCTCGCGCCTATTTCGTACTCGAAGCGTGTTCTTAAAACGTACCGGTACGATTTAGGAAAACCATTTTAGATGAATGTCACAATAAGCTATTACCGATTCGTAAACTTATTTTTTTCTAAGTTTCTGATTTAAAAAATAACCGCAAAAGTTCAAAACAAATTAAAACTTAATCGTATTTAATTTTAGAACAACGTGTCGAAAAGAAAATATAATTCTTGAAGTAAAGAAAATATGAAAGAAGCGATTAAAAAATATAATGACGAGACCTTATAATTTAACGAAGTTTGTAGTGTATATAATGTACCGTAATTGACATTTAGACGATAGATACAAGGACTGAATATACATCAATGAATAGACTACATAGGTCATTTTTTAAATCACTAAAACTGAATTTTAGTGCCGCTTGCGCATCGTGGATGCAAACCATCCTGGTTCCTTAATAAAGCGTATCTTCGAGCCGTTTGTATGGACACGGGCACGCATGACTTCGAATCTTGCGGATTGTGGCCTGGCAATCGCTTTAAGATCGGGGATGAGAAATATGTCGTTCTTGACGAAGATGCTAATGTAAGTGAAACGGCGGAAGTCTCCCAGAATCTGGCAACTGAAAGGCGGCGAGAACAAACAGATACTTTAACGTGTGTGGCACAATCCAATCAGACTACTGACAACAGACTGAAGAAGTCGAGTACCCACAACTTCCCGAGGTACCGACAACTCACCCTTCGGAAAAACAGCGAGATCAGTGTCTGGAAGAGAAAGCGAANATATTCTAAACTTTTGTCCCTGCTATGCTAGTATTCCATATTTTTTGCCTCTAATCTTGATCAATGTTCCCTGTAATTTTTTTTTTTGTAGATGAGCGGAACATATACTTCTCTGAGCAAAAAAGTTTTTGCTGAGCATATATATATATAATTTTACTTTTTCTAAAAAATTAAAATAATTATAAAGTAGAGATTAAAATTCATTTTAAAACATACTTTTATACGAAATATTAACTTTTGTCAATGATTTAATGTATTTAAACGAAATATACTCAGCAATAATCATGTTGCAGACAGAGTGAGAAATAAGTAAACAACAATTCAAGTCGGTGTGCATGCTCGCCTGCGCGGCACATAAATTCTCGTGCGCGGCAACAATTTGAGCAGTGCGCGACCGCGCAGCCGCGCAGCTTAGAGGGAACATTGCTGAAGAGGGAGGAGATTACGGAAACTCGGACAAACTGGGACAGTGGGAGAGTAAAAGTTCAAGAAAAACGTAGACGTAATTTATGGACAGCCCCTTGGGCGCGGAGCAAAGATCTTTCTCTCCACCTACGAGGTCAATAAATTATAAACTACGTTTAAAACAGTTCGATGCCGGTAAAAGACGGGCCTAAGTACCGGCCGGGCACGGCCGATGCCCGTTATCGTCCTTTCGTAATCCGACTCTTTCCGGGGACGAAGGAAACGTCGACGACTCGGTGGTCGGATCCCGGAAGAAGGGTCCAGAGCCGCGGCATCGACTAGGGGAAACTTGCCTAATTCGTACTTATTCGTACTTCGCTTATATCTTCACTCCCGTAATAGCTATTAGTGTCTCTAGTAGCAAAAGAAGTAAATAACAATCGGTCATATTACCATCTGACAGACAACACGCTGTTACTCTGCTCCCGACAAAAATATTGAAAAGGAAAGTTTTTTCAACTTTTTCTGTAATATTTTTGCACATTTCATACGAAATTTCTTCAAATTGGATCGTGTGTAAGTTTTTTAACTATCTGTGATGTATTAGTGCGTATTTTTGTGATTTCATCCGAAGTGATGAAACACGCGTATCTGTTGTCAAATTTTTTGGCCACTAATGTAAAGTTTGTTCGACTCTCGCGCCTATTTCGTACTCGAAGCGTGTTCTTAAAACGTACCGGTACGATTTAGGAAAACCATTTTAGATGAATGTCACAATAAGCTATTACCGATTCGTAAACTTATTTTTTTCTAAGTTTCTGATTTAAAAAATAACCGCAAAAGTTCAAAACAAATTAAAACTTAATCGTCTTTAATTTTAGAACAACGTGTCAAAAAGAAAATATAATTCTTGAAGTAAAGAAAATATGAAAGAAGCGATTAAAAAATATAATGACGAGACCTTATAATTTAACGAAGTTTGTAGTGTATATAATGTACCGTAATTGACATTTAGACGATAGATACAAGGACTGAATATACATCAATGAATAGACTACATAGGTCATTTTTTAAATCACTAAAACTGAATTTTAGTGCCGCTTGCGCATCGTGGATGCAAACCATCCTGGTTCCTTAATAAAGCGTATCTTCGAGCCGTTTGTATGGACACGGGCACGCATGACTTCGAATCTTGCGGATTGTGGCCTGGCAATCGCTTTAAGATCGGGGATGAGAAATATGTCGTTCTTGACGAAGATGCTAATGTAAGTGAAACGGCGGAAGTCTCCCAGAATCTGGCAACTGAAAGGCGGCGAGAACAAACAGATACTTTAACGTGTGTGGCACAATCCAATCAGACTACTGACAACAGACTGAAGAAGTCGAGTACCCACAACTTCCCGAGGTACCGACAACTCACCCTTCGGAAAAACAGCGAGATCAGTGTCTGGAAGAGAAAGCGAAGGAATGTTCTTTAGGTATGAAAGTAAACATTTCTAATACAGAGACAGTTCGAGCGACATTCGAAATAATATCTCCACTACGTGGTATTCTTGGAATTGCAAGAAGAAAAACGTATGAAAGAATCTTGGTGCGAAGAAAAGCAAAACTACTAAAATATCACAAAAAGAGAATTAAAAAAACAGGAAAATGAAAATAACAGTTGGTACTGTAAATTATGCCAAGAAAACGTAAAAGAAAGTATGATCAAATGCACACAATGTGAGATATGGGTACATGACCTTCGCGCAGGAACCAATAAAAAGACAATGGATTACAACTGCGATGACTGCCAAAAATTGGCAAAGACCAGCTGCCGAATTTGCTAAGAGTTAATATACACACGTATTGATACACACGTACAGTACATTATTGATAAAGATTTTTATTTTTAAGACTGCAAACCAATGATAGGATCTCAAAGTACGATTTAAGAATATATCGGTACGATTTAAAACGAATGTTCCTAAATCGTACTTTTTTAGTGTTTTTTTAAATTGTTTATTTCTCAGAAGTTTATAAGATTTATGCTAAATTTGATTATGGTAGTGATAGAATATTTCCCAAATAAAAGTTACTTAAAATAAAAAATAATTTATGTTTATTAATTTCGATAATATGAAGGATTTTCCTGAAATGGTACGAATTAGGCAAGTTTACCCTACTCGGCGTGGGGGGGGAGCGCGGGTTAAAGAGGGAAAAAGAAAAATGTCGAAAAAAGCTTACACGTCGCTCTTGGTGGTGAAGACTTTGTCTCTGATGGACTCGATGGCCATCCACTTGATGGGAAGAGGACCCTGTCGAAAAACAAAAGCCTGGGTAAGTTCCGACTCCCGCTCCCGCCAATCCTTATATTCTTAAATCTCCCGACCCGCAGTCCCGGTCCTCCCGTACGAAATCTTTCTCGGACTAAACGGAAGTTTCCCGCGGTAAATCCCGTCTCCGCCCGTCCGCAAAAACTGTTACCGGCCCACTTTAGGGCGGGGGCGGATGATTAAACTTCTCGCGCAGTAGAAACTAATGCGGCCGTCGGACTCCCTCTCCTTTAAAGTGAGTCGAGAGACGATTTTAAGTCTTTCCCGGACGGTTAACGGCCGTTCTTTCTTCCTCCGTCGGAATTTCCCGGGCGGCGACCTCCTATCCACGCCCGAGAAATTCGAAAATAACCTTCTTTTGGAAGAGGAAAACTTCCGCGGGAGGCGTTAACGCGCCAGCGCATTTTCTGACGGGAAGGTTAAGGGGGAAGAAAGAACAACTCTTGCCCGTTTAACCCAAGAAAACCGAAACTCACGTTGTTTTTCTTGACGTAATTGGAGTATTTGTAGCAGTCTTTGGCCAATCCGAAGTCGCAGATCTTGACCACGTGGCGGTCGGCCACCAAGACGTTTCTGGCCGCCAGGTCCCGATGGATCAACTGAAAAGATTCTTCTTTAAAAAAGCAATTTAACCCAGTTCCCCGCCCAAGGGGGCGGACGTTACCTTTCTGTCCGACAGATACTGCATTCCTCGCGCGCATTGGTAGGCGAAGTACAGCAGGCGGGCGGTGGTGACGGGTTCTCTGCGGGCCCCCTCTCTGCTCTCGGAACCTTCCGACTCCCGGCGTCCGCCGGTTCTTCGATAGACGAAGCTGCCGTCTCCTTCCTCTTCGGAACCCGTCCGTCCGCGCCACCACTCGGCGCTGGGCCGGCTCCATTCCCTGCAAGGAGAAAAACCCACGTGGGACAAGGGAAAGAGGATCCGCCGGCCGCTTCTTCTCGCGCCTTACCCCGGGCTTTGGCTCCAGCTTGCCGGAGACGTCAAGTTTTCGTAATCGGACTTTTCGGAAGAGGGCGACCGGGGGACGAAGGCCGACTTCCTCCCCAGGAGATAGTGCCGGAGGTTTCCGTATCGACAGTACTCCACCACCACCATCAGCTCTCCTGCGGACGAAAAGACCGTCGGCAACGTCGACTATCGACCGACAAAAAACGAATTCTTACCTTTTGCCATGTTTTCCGTCACGGCTCCCAGCAGGTTGACGATGTTGACGTGCGGGCGCAGGTGAATCAGGATTTTCAGTTCGGCCATCAGAGCTTTCATCTGCTCCCGGTCGGCTCGCTCCTTTAGCATCTTGACCGCCACCACCGTCGATCCTTGTCCGCCCAATCCCCGGGCTTCCGCCTCCACCACCCTTCCGAAGGCTCCTTGACCCAACGTCTTTCCTGTAACCAAGTCCATCGGTTCGATTGTCGTCGGAAAAAGTCGCAACAAACGTCTACGGCCCCGGCGACCGTCGACGTCGATTTCCTCCGTACGCGACGTCGGCCGTTTCGCCCGACCAGAATATAAAAGAAGCCGCCGTGGCCGCGGAGGAACTCCTTATACGTTAATTAATTAAATACGACGGAACCGGGCGAGTGCGGTTTAAAATATAGTCGTAGACAAAGTTTAAACGGGCGTACCAAAACCGGCCAGCGCGTAACGGCAGTAACAAAAATATTAAAGTATACGTAGGTAAACGCCACCGCCTTTACCTACGTATCTAAAACAAAAAACAATTTTTTAATATCCAATATCGGTACGTACTGTATTGTTCTATCGGAGGCGGTGTACGCAGCGTATATAATTAAAATACGGGATATTCGTCTTTTCGGCTGTAAAAATATTTTAATCCAATTCTAAATATCAAACTTTAAATGGCGCATAAAAATTACGACAAAGCCTAAGTAGGTCGATTAATTATTAATTGGTCAAAAAACGACGAAAAACGAAACTGGTGGATTTCGTCGCAACCGGGCGTTGGAAGAGCCCGAATGTCGAATACGACGGCGATTGGCTAGCCACTGGCGGGGTGAGAAACGTCTTCGATATTCTCGCCTTTATAATACGATTGGCCATCGAATCTCGGTAAGACCGTCGCGTAACCCTTGGTTTCTTTCTCGTTACTTTTTTACTACGTTCGGCGTCGAACCAACGAACGACTCGGGAAACGTTTACGCTTTATAATTTGTACCGTAAGCTCAAGTCCGGCGATAAGACACAAGTTTAATAACATTAAGGCGCCGACCATCGATTAGTGTTTTCTAACAGATCAAGAGTATCGTTGGGCTTTTCACTTCTCCGTCCCGATTTTCGGTCTCTTTATTCGGTGGAAATTCGTCCTCCGAAAGAGTATTCCTTTTAAAATATTTCCTACGTAATTAATTCTTTGGGAAGGTCGAAGGCCGAACTTTACCAACGACACGTCGGCTATTTACAAGTAAATATAAGAAATATCGTCCGTTAATGCGAGTTTCGATTTCCGGTCTACGGATCCGACGTTACGGTTCTTGGTCACGGCAGAAGTCGGCGACCGGAAAACATGGACTTTTAAGTCCCTTTTATTTTATTTTGTACGAGTTACGACGTTCCGTTCTAAACACCGTCGTTAATGGATAAATCGTTCGTTTATTAGTAAGGCGTCTATCTAAAAGCCTAACTTATTTTCCTTTCGACTAATAATAATTAGGAATAAAGCGTGGGAAATTGGTAATTACCGGCGGAAAATATGGCGAAATCGGTTCCGACCATTGGCGCCGTTTGCCGCGGCGGCGTAATTTACAACTAGTGCCGACCGGGTGTACGGTAAGCGGTAAAACTCTATGGTTATTCGGCGCCCCGGAGTAACGGTGACGTAGACCGGTGGGTGCCGGGTTATGCCGTCGTTAGGTAGATGGAAAACCAACTTTTCTGCCGACGGGCTATTTTATGGCTATTTATTGGGCGTTTGCCAGCTTGGCCGCGTCTTGGCCTAGAAACCGATTCGATTCCGAGTGGCGCGTAATACATTCTTCGTTTGCGCGCCGTAATCGTCGACGTTATGGCGTAAGAAAATCGACTAAACTTGTATTTGTTTATTAAAAATGAATCCTTGTAGAACTTTTAACATATATTCGATATATTTGTAATTGGTTGTGATTTTTTAGCTTATTCGAAAGGAATGAGCGTGGAGATAATGCGGTTTCGTTTAGGGCTGGGTCGTCTAGGAACTCGTTCTAAGCGCTAAACCGGCTCTTACAGTATCGCGTTGTAAATAAAGTTAATTATAAACATCAAAAGAAAAAGTAATGCAAATATTAAAAGTTTATAATACTTTTTCCATTATTCGAGAATTAAGTAGAAAATGCAATAATTATCGCATATAGGCCTAAATAAAAATAACCAGAAGAATTGTCTATAAAATAATCGGAAATATATTCATTTCATTGATTGATCGTAAATAAGGTAGTTTTTTTTTATCAATATACGAAATTATTATCCTAATTAACTGGCTAGGAATATATGAAATTATGTCAATAAACGTTATTTTATTTAAACTTTATTATATTACTTTTGTCGCTTGTTATTTTACAGATGCCAACTTTGGGTAAAGGCGAGGAAAATGCTAAATCGCCTTATAATTCTGCATTTCGCAGTTTTAATTTAATTGTAATTTTATTAAAATATAATGGTTTTTCTAGGGCCAAAGACGTTAATATACAGCGGTGGTTCTCCACGTTTTTTTAACCGCGGATCCCTTTCCCTCTTAATTTTTTGTCAACCCCCATACACATTGCGCGGGGAAAAACCTTATATTTTTCACTAATAAAAAAAGAAAGGACGGAATAAGATTCTCCGAACAAACCCGCTTTATCTTTATAATTTCTCTTTGGCCTTTGTCCTATATGTCGTATTTTAAATACCGTTATTTATATTTTAACCCTTACGCAAGAAACGAGTGATAAAGAAATTGACAATATACATACTGTAGAAATTTAATTTTTGGTAAAACCATCGTTCCCAAGTAGAATTACCCTACGGATCACTAAAATATCACGGTATACCGGTCGAGAACCACCGATATACAGCCCGCAAACATTAAATAAACGTGTCCTCGTTAGGTACTATTGATTTAAAAGGAAACCACGCTAGTAATGATGGGTGTAACTAGGTAACCAACGAGTGTCTCTAAGGGCGCCGATATCGTCCAGCCATCGAACGAACGATAGAGTTTGGCCGCCTACCGTATACGGTACGCGCTTTGGCCGGGGGTTTAGACGGTCCGCCGGGCCACCTACCTAATTTCAAGCACTCCCGCGGAAGTTCCCAGCTGCAATCGTAAGGCAGCAGATCGATCTGTTCGTCTAACGGCAAGTCGGGATTGATTTGTTCCGCTCGACCCTTATAGAAGACGGCGTGGGTCAGGATTTCCAGTTCCTTCTTCTCTCTCTGCAACGAAAGCGGTTTTAAAAACCGCCACCGACACAAGGGGCGGAGTCTTACCTTTTCTTTCAGGACTTTTCTGATCAGGAGGGCGGCCAGTATCAGCAGAACCAGCGCCAAGACCGCCGCGAAAACCGCGGTGTAAGCGTTTCGTTCCCTCTCTCGCCGCCGAGCTTCCACTCGGTCTGAAAAATAGCGGTTAGGCGGATGCGGGCCGGGAGACGAACGGAAAGAAGTTTCTCACCTTTGGCCACCACGAAAGTGACGTTGGCGGTCGAGATCCCGGCTGGGTTTTCCGCTCGACACAGGTAAAAGCCGGAATCGTCGTCCAGGAGTCTTTCTATGACCAGTCTCCGAGAGTCGTCCTTTAACTCTATTCCGTTGTGGCCGGAGTGGTTGAACAGTCGATCGTCTTTGAACCAGGAGATTCGGGGCGGAGGCACTCCTCGCGCGTAACAGGTAAACTCGTAGCGTTGTCCGGCCGAAGCCACCACTCGGGTTCCGTTCATGTTGGTCTCTTCCAACCACGGCGCTTCCGCCGCTGAAACGTCCGGAATTTAAGCGTTAGAACCGACGTCGTCTTTCTAATCCCGCCGCCTTAGGGCCGTTTGGCGATACGACCGACCCATCCTATAATCGGACCGACTAGTAATAGAAGTATTGGCATGGGAACGGGTGTTAGAAATCGTTTAAGTTTTTCTAACTTAAACGATTACTTTTGTAGTCCACTCGGTTAAACTTTACGGAAATGATCTTACTTGGTTTATAAATTCTTGCGAAAAGTCTAAATAATAGCGTCTTTTCTGGTTTCGTCGATAATGTATTTTAATATACTTGTATATATTAGTCATTTGGGTTCCCGTATAAAATTTCAGCAGTTACGAAGGAAATAAAATACCAGGGAAAATTTAAATAAATTATAAAGTTACGTTTGATGGACAAATAGTTTTCATATATAAGTCTGATGGGTTGTGGTTTCGAAGCTGCGGTTGGTTGGAGCTTCTCCCACCCCACCACAAATATTTAACTTTAAATCCGTCCGACTGTCGGAGTCGGTCGTAGCGCGAAACAGCCCGTACCCGATCGGGACGGCGAGACGTTCGGGAGATGGGCCGAAACCGACGATATTTTAGTATCGGCCAATCGGAGCGAAAGAAAGCGGTCGAGCCGTAAAGGCGTGGTCCGAAGGAACTCGGCCCGCCATCGAGGGGGAAAATGCCGGGTGGAGATTGCGAAAAGTCTCGAGTTTTTCGTCTTACAACTCCCAGCGCGGTACCCATCTCACCACGCCAGTCGAGCGCGCGAGATAGCTACACGAAAGTGAAAATGGCAATCGGAGCGTTAGGAGGAGCCGAAAGAGTCGTTTAAATTAAGGCGACGAATTTTCGACCGCGAGTACATGCAATTGTCCAGTCAACACTAATAAACTTTAATTGGTAATAAAGAATCATAAGGCAAATTTTTTCCAAAAATAAAAACAAGTATCCAATTGGTGGAAAAAGACAATTAAAATAATAGTAAATTATACGTATAAATTATTAAGAGCGTAGACGCTATATTAAGATTATTTATTAATCGCAAGTGTTAAGTTGTGATTAATAAATAATCTTTACAAAGAAACCGATTTAAGAAACAGATGGGGGAAGAAAACTATACGAGAAAAGGATTAAATTAACATACTTTTTCCCTTACCCGACGGATTTTTTAGCTCCGATACGCAATTCATTTTTCAAGTAATTCTCTCCACAAATCCAATTGTCTTTTTCTTATTATTTTCTATATACGTTACTAATATTTCCTTTTGTTCTTCGCTTCTTTTTTTTAAAATAAAACATCGCAGGTTTCCATTTTCTTTCCGCGTATCGTATCGCTATAAGACGAGACTTTTAGTTATCGTTTACGACTCGTTACGGTAAAGTCGATGGGTCGAATCGTTATAGTCGTAAATAATCCCACCGCGCTTATTAACCACCTACTTCCGCTCGATGGGTCTAACTCGAGACTAACGATTACGCGTTTACTTCCGAGCTTGCGGCCGACGTTTTCGAGGCGAAAACGTGTACGTCGGACATTCAGCGCCGCCTTCCTGCCAGCCTAGAAGTTTGACAATGGCGTTTAGAACGTCGAGCACGATTCTACTGACGTTCCAAACGCCATTGTCAAACTTCTAGGCTGGCAGGAAGGCGGCGCTGAATGTCCGACGTACACGTTTTCGCCTCGAAAACGTCGGCCGCAACCTCTCTAATAGCGCTACTTTCGAAGGCCGGAAGCGACGTGGTTAGCGCGTATATTGGCGCTTACGCGTCCTTTCGAAAGTAAACGCCAACGCTAACAAGAAATATGGCGGTTTTCTGTAAATAATATGGTCGAAGCCGCTATTTTAAATGTTACCTTACAGATAGGACTACTCGATTCCCAATCGGACGACGATGATCTTATTGTGGATATAATTGTAGAAAAAAGAAATAAAAGAGATAGAAACTTTTATGGAAGAGACTTTACCTTCTTATAATCTAATCGATTTTAAACGGCACCTTAGACTTACCAGAGAATCTTTTGAGTCTCCTTTAAAAGATAAGCCCAATTTTAGATACGGAAAAATTACTTCCTCCGGAAGACGATCCGCGTCTTCTCGCCGCCTACGGACATGGGCAATCGAGAATCGTTCGGGTTTGTTTATATAAGAGAATAACGGATTATACGCGGTGGCGTAGCGTAGTGGGAACGGCGAAATTTCACAATAAATAATAGGGCCTAATAATATCTTGTAAAAATTTAAACCGTTTCAATTCGTATTTTTGTCGCACCTACGATTCGGACCGATCGAAACGAGCACGGAATTTTTCATCGCTTATTCTGTGACGAAACTGAATTTTAGTCTTTTAAATCGAGATACCTAAATAAGGGGGCGGCCGACGTCCACGCTACGCCACCGATTACACGTAGGCCTATATATATAATAGAGGAGAAGGTGGTATTATGGAACAGTGCGGGTATTATGGAACCACCCCATTTCGAACTGATAATAAAGGCGAACTGTAGCGGATTGTGGCCGAGCTGAACTAGGCAGACATCCATAGCGAGAGGAAAACCCGTTTTACTTCAGTTAAACGGTTGTCCGTATTTAATCGGCAAATTTGTTTTTTTCAAAATTCGCAAGTTTTGAATGCTAAGTGAATTTAATTATTTTTAAAATATAAATCGTGAAGTTGTAGGTTCATTGGTGCACGTATTCCGTTCCAGAGACTTAGGGGTACGTATTAATCTGTGTGATGTTCACGTTTTTTAAATTTTGGTCTCGACAGACATAAGTTAATTC